CAAAAATATATTTAAAATCGTTGTTAAAAATTAATATTATTAACACTTTAATATTATTATATGCTTAAATGACTTTTTTCTTACAATATATGTACTTTTTTGAACAACTCTGAAAATTGTATTTCCGTAATTTAGCTTCACTTTTCACTTGGCAATTCACAATTGAAAACTAATTGTTCATTAATTGAATTTAAGTGCGCGACATTTTCTATTAATTGATTTTACGAATCGATATCAGAATGTATATATTTAATTGTAGTTTTTTTCCACGTTTCAATCGAGCGAAGCGCAGTTAATTAATTTAAAGAATTTGACTTATTTATTGTTTACTTTTCAAAATGGCACGAAGAGAAATAAGAACCAAAAAACTGAACGATTCGTCGAATCGATCGTGTCTTGAATGGAATACCGCTGATGACTGGCAACGGGCAACTGGCGACTGACAACTGGCAACTGCGGAACAACTGCGGAACAACCGACGACAAATTCTATTGACAAATTGCGAGAGACTATCGAACGAACGAGCGACGACCGGCTGACTGCGTGGAGACCCAACAACTGACGTATCCCATTCTTCTGTGTGTTGTTGCTTTTGATGTTGTTGTTGTTGTTGGCTTTGGCGCTAGCCGATCGTCAATTGCGCTGCACTTTGAATTTCATTTGGTTGCCGTTGGCAATGCCATTGCTGCTATGCCGGCTTGCGCTCCGTCCATCTCTGTCTTGCGCTCGCTCTCTTCGGAGCACAGCTGTTGGACGCTCTCTTGCCACTTGTGGCTGACTCAAAGTCAATTAGTTACGCTCTTTGCTTGCTCTTCTTCTTTTTATTTTGTTTGTTTATGTTTGTTTGGGCATTCGCTTAGCCGGTTGACTCAGCAGTTGTATGTGCTTTCGTTGATTGACTGCCGCTTTGCTCTTTGTATGTTTCTATTTCCATTTCTCTTTTGCTGCTCGTGTAAAGTGCAGCTTGCCTAGTTTCGTTTCGTTCAGTTAACGGTTAGTTAATACTGCACTCTCTTAATTACATTTGCGCTCTTATTTGAATAAGTCGTGCAATATTTAACACATTTAACGCCAAGTTAAACGAAACGCAATTAACAACATGAAGTCAACTCAAGATTACATCTCATCATCTAAACAAACGATCACGTCAGCAGCTAAGCAACTTAACGAAACTATGCGAAATTCAATTGAGGCGCATTTCAAAGCTCAACTTCTGCTTCTCCTTCTGCTTCTCCTTCTGCTGATGCTGATGCTGATGATGCTGCCGACAACGATTTTTACATAGAAAAACGCTTTGTTTTCCATTGCGCGCCGCGCTGAATGCCGTAATTGAATTTGAAAAGTGTGTTAATGCGACCAGCAGCTAAGCAAAGCTAAGTATCTAAGTATCTACAAGATACGACATACAAATTGCAAAAATTGCTAGCTGCGGACTGACGAATATTGAACACCCTTTATGTTTAGGGGATGGCTAAATAACAATAATATATGTAATACATATTAAAGCTAAACTATTTATATTTGTAATGTATATAACATATATTATTATTATTTGCATTTTCTTGTTTATGTTTGTATATTATAGTTTTTATATATATTACGATTACTATTGTTATTTATTATGATTTATTATTGTATAACTTTGATAATTTTGTGGCAGATCAAAACTTAAGCTGCATTCTGGGATTCATTATCCGACTCTAATAACTATATTTACCACACTATTGTGGTATATATAGTATAGTAATCAGCTTGTACGATCAATATATTGATATTAGCACTCATCTATCATAAGAATCTAGAACTAACTCTTTTTTATATGCACATCAAGAGTATATACCCCTTAACAATTTTTCTATATACTTTCATCAAAGTGTTGCATGCTTCACGACAAATCTGATATACCCGCCGCAAAAGGGAGATGCAAAGATACCGCTATCCACTTTGACTCGGCATTCATTCAGCGACAGCTAAAAGAAACACTTCAGATGTTGCAGTTGCAGTTGCAGTTGCAGTTACAGTTGCAGTTGTTGATGTTGATGTTGCAAGTTTACGTAGCCTGTCAGCTGCTGACAATTCGCAAATTAATAAACTCATTAATTAGAAAGCCAAGCGACATAAATAAATATGCGTTAAATGTGCTGACAAAGCTGCTTCAAATAATTAATTTGCCATGATTTGGACAGACTCCCCATCTCCCCCACTCTCTCTCTATCTCTCTCTCTTTCTCCCTTTCTCTCTCTATCTCTCTCTGTTGATCAGGCTGGTTTAATATATTTGGCAAGAAATATGCGAAGCAGCCAAGACACGGCGAGCCAGACCCAAAGGGCAGCCGTCGTAAGAAAAGGCGAACGACAAGCGGCTAAAAGTGTTTAGAATTTCTGGCATTTTGTCAAGTGTCGCCAAAGCATTTTGCCAAACACGCACAGTTCCTGGGCGACCCAGGGAGGGAGGGGTGCAGAGGGGGTGTGGCAGGGGTACGTGTAGAAGTTTTGCACTTGTTGCATTTGGCATATTTTATGTGTGGCATTTCAAATTGTGCGGCATTTTGTGTTTTTGGCCACAAACTACAAATGCTCTACTCGTATTAGGGGTATTAGCAAAGTCTTAATTCGATTTGGAAAGTTTAAGTTAATCAAAATACTACTTTTTTCTATTTATAATTTTATATGTCTTACTTATGACTATTATACTTGTATAGGATATAGTATATAGTAAGTAAGTAAGTAAGTAATTTTAACAAAGTAACTGAAGAAATATAAAATAATACATTTAATACTAAATATCTTATTTTATATAACAATTGTTTTTTGAATTGAATGTGCCACTTAAAATATATATTTTTGTTTGTAAAAATATGATGGAGTGTTTACTTTTTCTATTTTTATTTCAATGTTATTTTTTTTTACTAATTTTTATTTTGGTTTCTTACTCATTAAACATATCTTAATCAATTTGAATATGTTAGGGTATTTGTTCTTCAGTTGTATTCTTTCATCTTGTGCATCTGGTAGTTTAATAGATTTGTTCTTTATAGCCCTTGTTATTGTTAATGGCGTGACAAATAAATAAATGCGTATACATTTTATGGGTAATGCATTATTAAATGAAAACTGTTTCCGACATTTTCCTTATAATCATGTTTTGTGTGAGACACTCGCGCGACTTTTCCGCTTCGGTTTGTAATGCACGACTGAGAGACAATTTTTGTTGTTGGTTTTTCCACGTAATTTATTATAAAATTTGTGTGTTACGTATTTTTAAATTTGTGATTTATTTTTACCATGCGAACAGCGTGACACAAATGACAACAACAATTATGCCTTGTTGAGCACATCAAGTGATTTCGAGAGTGGCAAAAGATACAGATACACAGATGAAGAGACGTAAAAGATACATTATTGAGGGACATAAACATGTTGCCGAGAAAGAGCGAAAAAATTGCACTTGAATGCAGCTAAATGGACCAAGAGAGCTTTGAGCATCCCATCGAATGTGTTATGACAGCAAGAAGACATTTATTAAAGTGTTTATATAAACCATGATCTACCAGAAATTTTGATTGCAGATACAATTTATAGCAGTCATTTATAGTGTGACTATAAATCACATTTGATCGTCACTTGTTGTGTGAAATACTTAAATTTTGAAGCATGAAAATTGTTTTATAGACGCACCATTTTTTGTTCTGCTAAATTCGATTTTTACTGAGCTCTCCTGCTTCATCGGTGCAATATATGTTTAGCTTTAGTTGAGAACAGATCAAAGCAAGCGAAGATTATGTAAACTACTAAAGAAAGGCATAAAGTTATATCCTATGAATATAGTTTTCATATACATATTTTACGTATTTTCTATATATTTGTTTTACATATTATATATTCAGATTGCCATGCATTAAGTAACTCTCTGATTAAAAGCCACATCAAATACAAAATGGCCCGACAACAATCCCAATTACCAACAAGGATACGATTGCGAATGCTCAAACATAAACTTTGCATAGCAGAAATGGACTGAAAGCTGAGCAAGCTAAGTTAAATACCAAAGAAATACCCTATAAAAAGAAAAAAGCACACGCAAAAATAAAAAACACACGCTCAGAGCGGAAACGGAAGCGCATTGCGTGATACAAAATGGCCGTCGCCGTCGCGTTTGTTGATTTCCCATACGATAAAGTGGGGCTCAATAACAAGTTTCATTTTGGGAAATCCGCTGAGCCAGAAAACTTATTTGTAGGCTTTGCTTGACCAAGGTTGCCAGCCAGTTTACAGTTTTTTGTGTGCATATTGCTGAGTGGACGAAAGAGAAGGAAGGAGAGTGAGTGAGGGAAGGAGAGAGAGAGAGAGAGCGTAGACATGTCAATTTTTCCAGTTTTGAGCTTATTGAAAGTTGTATTTGCACAGAGCGTGTCCAAAGAACTTGAGCCGTTACACAGAAGGAAAAAAAAGAGATGAATAAAGATTCTTATCGATTTAGTGAGCCGCCGCAAAGTAACTAATACCCTTTGGCCCCCTCTTCCCCTCTATTCATGCCCATTATTCAGGCATATTGGAGGCGCCTGTCCCCGATACAGGTTGTGACTAAGGCCACAAGGCATAAAAATAGCAATAGCAATAGCAATGTCAATGGCAATGGCTACAGCCATAGCAATATCTATAAAATCTGGCAGCAGTCTTAGCAGACAGCCAGACTACAACAAAATTAACAATTCCATTTTATTTTTAATTTCCCAGTATGCAGTTGAAGAGACTTAAGCAGGGTATATTGCTGTTGTGCAACATACACTCTGGCTTAATGTGCGTCCATTTAAACATCCCTGTTACTTAATAGATATTGTATATATCATTTTTACTGTTTAATATTTAGCCACAGCTTGCTTCAATCGAGAGCATTCGAATTTATTACCAATAGTTGCTCAATACAATAAATACTTTCTCCAACTATCTAAAGGCTAACTTACAGTCGAGCGTACACGAATTAATTTGGTTTACACTTACCATTTCTGTTCTCACTATCCGCCGGCTTCATTTGAATGGGATGATGCATCTGTAAATGGCAAAACAAAAGATACAAAGAGAGTCAGTAGGAGTAAAGAGAAAGAGAAAGATGTCAAAATAAAGATAGAGATTTGATATTGAGTTGGAGAAAGGAGAGCAAGGAGCAGACAGCAGAGCTGTCCATGTCCTGTCAGCTTTTAATAGATGCCAGCAGCTGCTGAATGGCAATTGAGGCTCTGGACATATGAGAATGAAAAACCTGGACCATCGCGCCTCCCCCCAATTTAAACTCCCCCCTCACCGTCGATTAGTTTTTTTTTCATCACTTGTGTTACCTTTTTGCTCTGAAGATTTGATTACTTTGATGCGAAGCGCATGCAACAAGAATGTTGCAACAAAAGGCACAAGGCAAAGGCTAACAAATGTTCATAAAACTAATGAAATGGCCAAAAGCAGACAAGCAGCAAATAGACCAAAAAAGAAAGAAAAGAAGAGTAGAATAGAAGAGCAGAATTTCATTTCATTAACGTGGCCATTAGCACTTGCCATTCAATGCGCTGCTTTTAACAGTTTTTCATTTATTTTACATTCATTGAGCAAACCGATAAGGTTCTCTGCCTCTCCCGTCTGTCCAGCTGTCTGCGACAGGACTTGACAGGACTTTGCCGATGGGCTGTCCTTACTTTGATTTCAATTAACTTTTGACTCAGCCAAGAGGCGCCAACAGCGGCAAAAGATGATAATAATAATAATACTTGCAATCAGACTCGTGCTAGAATTGCACCAATTGATGGACCCTTTTCTTATATACCCTAAAACTAGTCAAAAAGGGTATATTAAAATACTATTTAATATTTTGTAAGCATTGAGAAAGGTTTTAGTATTAAAAAAATAATGCAAAAATGTATTTTAAAAGGGATTTTTGTTTATGAATGCATTATAGAAACCAGAGAGTAACTCAAGTTTCCTGTGCCTGTTTGACTCTTAGTTAATTACTAAAATGCAAATCGTGCTTAAGCCTTGCTGAAAGTTTAATTTAAAATAAGATACACAAACCTAAAACATAATTAAATGAGAGTTAATTATTTTTCTGTCAACTTAACTTATTACTCTTTTCAAAATGCAAACAGGGTATTACAAAAAATAGAAAAGAAACAGACAGCTGCACTAAGTGAATGAATGACTGGCTGGGTGACTGACTGAGTGACTGTTGTGCTGAAAATTGAAATGAAATGCGCAAGAACTTCAACTTCAACTTGAAGTTCAACTCAAACTACAACTCAAACTTCAACTTCAGCTCAAACTCAAAGTGAAACTATTAACTGAAATGTCAGCAAATGTCGTCGTCTGCTTGTCAGTCCTTTCTCTGGTCTGGTCGGCCTATTTGCCTATTGGCCTGGCTGAGGGGCAGCTGGTCAAAAGGTTTTGCACAAATTACAAGTGAATGACACTGCCCTTCCCCACCTGCTCCTTGCACCTCATTCACCCACTCACTTGACTCGCTCAATTGTTACGTCATTTTGCTGCTCTATTATTCAAAATTGACAGTTGAATGAGTTAAGTGGCCTGTCCAGGATGTTCCCCTTCCCCTACTTCTGCTCCTGCGTCTGCTGTTCCTTTCTCTCAGTACATCAGATGTCTGTCTGATTTGTATTGGGTCCCAGCTCTTATTATCCACCTATATGCAAATTGTTACCCTTTTCACTCTAATGACATTTTGTGTATAAAACGATTTCCATTCAACTTGTTGTTTATATTCTGCATCTATTTTTATTTTTTCACATGTGATTGGACATTAAATTGTCAATTAACTACGAAAACATTACTAAACTGTGCAGAATGAGGCAAATGAGGAGGGGGAGTGAGTGGTTGAGGTAGGAAAAGAGAGAGATTTGTGTGGCAACACTGCAAGAAAATATTCCAAAATAATAGTGTTTAATGACTTAATCTCATTATTATTTCTTAAATTTTTGTTTATTAATTTGCGTATTTAATTCATATCTCTTTTCTTACTCACGCCCCGCCCACAATCTCTATCTCTATCTCTATCTCGCTTTCGCTCACTCAATAGTGTATATCACAAACGAAAGAAATCGTTGCATACTTTCGGGCAGCAGTTTTTAAATGGTAACCACATTTCTACAGTTTTACAGTGTAATCTTATTGGACGAGCTTTTGAAGTGCGTCACAACTGCGCCTTTTCACACGTGCCACAGCATAAAAGAAACGAGGGAGGCAGAAAGGATGTCAGGCCACTTAACCCTCACACACACATTCACTCACACACACACACACATACATGCCGTTCTCTTTATATATAGAGTGAAATGGTCACTTCAAAACAAAATATTTATTGAAGCCGTTGACAAGTTGGGCACCTGTGTGTGTGTGTGTGCGAGTGTGTGTGTGTGTGTGTGTGTGTGTGCTGCTGTGTGTGTGAAAATGCCAACGTTTTAACGTCTGTTTACCTATCGATTATTTCAGGTAAATTAAGTAGCTCTCTGCACAGGCAGCAGCAACAGCAGCAGCAGACGAGGTGAGGAGAGAGTTGAGGTTGTGGGTGAGTTTTGGTGGTTGTGCAGACATCCTGCCAAATGCATTAAAGGATCAGACATGCCCACACACAAACACACACACACATGCTAGGCACTTACTTATATCAACAAAAGCTACACACACACACACACACACATGTGTGTGCAGCTTGGGCTCTGGTCATTATTTTGACAATTACACATGTGGCGTCATTTTGGGCCCTGAACATTTTAGTGCTATGGATTTTCCATTAACAATTTGAATATGTAAATGAAGCAACAAAGCTGCTCAGGCCAGCTATAGCATATATATACATATATATAGTTTGTAGTAGGGATAGTGCCCTTTCTTTGGGTGTTTGCCTGTGCGTGAACGCTTCATTTGATACGTGAACAATGAGATTGTCCTCAATAATTGAATCCACTAATTGACTGATGATTACATTTGTGTTGGTCACACACCAACCTCCCCTTCCGGGTATGCGTGTGTGTGTGTGTGTGTATAATGTCTGGTTTCGTTTTAGGCAAACTATGTCAGTCGATTAATCGATTTTGGTGCACAGCAGTTGACTTTCTCAAGCTGCATTATTTATTTTAAAGTTTCACAAAAAGAAAAGAGAAAAAACAGAACACAGATACATACACATACACACATACATACATACATACATACACATACACAAACATAAACGAGTAAATTGAAAGCGGCTACAATAAATGCTAGTTGTGATCTACTTGGTAGGGGTATTCCCCTTACTTACCCCGTCCAGCGTTTTAATGTTGTGCAGGGCATCCTGTGCACGAAGAGCCGCCTTGCGGGTATAGTAGGTGACAAAACAGCACCCTGTAAACGAAACAGAACGATACAAACCGATACAAATCGATAAACATAAATAGGCAAGTCGATAACAGGCAATTAACAATCGATAGACAAATGCACAAACGTTTTAATACAAGGACAATCATAATTACCACTTTTTTGGGGTAATTCGAGGCCAGTAAACAAGTCACATTTTATAAAGCGCTCTTTATATATTATCTTTATATATTTATCATACATGGGACACATCATTTCAGAGTTTACTTTAGCATGCAATGGCATTTTCAATCAGCCAAATGTTTATTTTATTTTTTTGGACATTAAACGAGCGCATTATGCGAGCCATGCAAAGATTATGATAGAAGGACAAAACGGGGTTGTGGTTGACTTATTGGAATAGACTAAATTTGTAATATTATACGCATGTGCTTATGCATTATCAATCGAATCGAACAAAACAAGTAACGAGAATGATAGCAGCACAATTTGAGTAAATATTCTAATGTATTGTGACTAAGACTGCCAAACAGACAATTATCGATCAAATTTATATATATGGTTTATATCAAACAGACAATGATCCATAATATAATTTACAACACTTTAAATACAAAAAAAAAAAAACTATCAAATATGATACAATAATTGCACCGTTATCGATAACACATTATTTCAGATTGATATCGTATAAATATTTATATTGTGGCTAAGACTATGAAACAGAAAATGATTGGTAATATATTTATATAGTTTGTACAAAACAACACTTTAAATGTGAACAGATTATCGACTTTACGATATACTGATATAATCGATAATTATATGGTGGTCGATAACATATCATCAATAAGCAAATTTTTATCATGATTAATTTATAATATCTAATTATCGATCGATAATTTTACTCCATTTATTAGCGATTCTTAAACGATTACTCCGTTTGGTCGATATCATTTCGACATTAATTATATTCATTGAAGATAGTTTTTACACAAATATAATAATTTACTATTTACTTTTCCATATACACAAACTTTTTAACCCATAAATAAGAAATACAATTATGAATATAAATAAAAAAATAATGTGTGTGAATCAATTGGTACTATATCAAATATTTATGACACAGCTTAAACCCCACTTCCGGCCACTTCCCTCCCAAAAATAAAGAAGATAAACTAAGCAACATGAAGTGTAATCCTCTTTCTTTTTTTTTTTGGTTAAGGCTTCGCACATTAAGAATATTATCGTCCTTGGCCACCTCTTCTGTTGTTGTGTGAGTGTGTTATAAGTCCTAATCTGCGTACAAAAATAAAACCAGTAGGAGGAGGGGCAGGATGTGGAGGTGTTTGAGTAGTGGTAACTACGAGCATATCCGATCAGGAGCACGCATGGCCATAAATATGCATAATACAATTTCAACCTTTCATAAAAGTTTGCAAGCAAATGTGCAAATTATTCAAATACCCAACAGAATTAACCAAACTTCTGAGCGAGTGTGTGTGTGAGTGTGTATGGGAGTGTGTGTGTGTGTGTGTGCGACAATTATGGCCAATTACTGACAGAAAAACTGTAGCTCAACACCTGGGCCTGGTGTTGGTTGCTTGGGTGTTAGTTTTAATGGGTTCGTTTTGCGCTACACTCAGCAAAAAAATGCGATAAATTGTAGGATATTGCCTTGAAAACTAGACAGTTTTCTTGTTTTTAGAAATCATTTTTAAATATAAGAAAACAAATTTCCAAAAACTAGAAAGGCTTGTTCTAAATCGGCTTTTATTAAGAAATACATTTCTGAGAAGTAGAAATGGCCTCGATTCTTTTCTAAACTTTTAATGTTTAACAATAATTTTAAAATTAAAGAAAAAAACCTAGTTTTAGAGTTCTTTGAGAAATACCTTTGGCAAATTTGTAAAATTCAGTGCAATTTTTTTATGAGTGTACCCATAATCATATTACTTGATGTTAATGTTGATGTTGCCCCCTCAATTGCCAGCCCCATGTGGCTTAAAAGGGTGCGCCTCAAATTGATGGGTATTGTAAAAATTCATTGCGAGTAGCTGCAAGTTGGCAACTTGGTAAGTTGGCAAGTTGGCTTCTGGTGGCACTCTTTTTGTGGCGATTAATTGGCGCATTTGTATGCTGCTCAACACTCAACACTCACCTCGACTAATCGATGTGACCTTATCTCGGAGCACATTCAGCGTGTGAACGCGTCCAAACTGCTCGAACAGGCATCGCAATTTGATCTCATCCCATGTCTTGGGTATTTGGCCCACAAACATTTTAATGTTGTCCGCATCCGGCTGATCCTTGGCCAGTTCCGCATCCACTTGAGGTATATCCATTGCATTCGAACTCACATTCCCAATGGAATCCGAATCACATTTGATGGCCTCCAATTCCAGCTGCTGTTGTTGCGACTCCTCGGCGCCATTTGAATCGCTGCAAATCGAAAGAAGAAAATGACATTATTGATAAGAATTGTACACAGGATACAAATTTTAATTCACATTGCTATGTATTCAACAGCTGAGTTCTAGGGTATGTTCTAGTCGAGTTTTTTCATTTATATATTGGCCGTCATATTGGTCTCGTCTGTGGCAATGTCCAAATATGTATTATCTACAAGTCGTTACCAGAAAACTTTTGTGGCAATTGTATTGAACTTTTATGGCCAACATATTGTACATGGTCAAAGCCAAACTCCCTCTCTAACTGCAACCTCCCTTCCTTTCCCCTCTCCCCTCTTCTCTGCATCTCTCTTCTTCTCTCTTTGTTCTAACTTCATTTGCTAATGACAATAAAAAACAACAGACTGGACAACAATGCTGCGTGCGATGTGTGGTCAAAAAACGAGGGACAGATAGAGTGAGTGAGTATGAGACAGAGAGAGGGAGAGAGAGAGATAGATAGAGAGAGACAGAGAGAGAGAAGTTGAGCAGTGCATAAAATACAAATACTAATTGTTATTAGCAAACTAATCTAATCTAAAAAGTTGTAAACGATTTTACTTTGTTCTGTGGCTGACCAACAGGCGAGTGTGTGTTGTGTGTGTGTGTGTGTGTGTGTGTGTATGTAGAGCAGAGGGTATCTAATGTGAGAGAGAGGGAGAGAGGGGGAAGTTGGTGGCAAGTAGCTGGCAATGCATTGAATGGTTCATTTTGGGGTCACTTGAATACTTCACTTCGAGCTTTTTATGTAATGCCCCCAAAAACTTTGTTTGTTTTCCTCTATGTGTGTGTGTGTGTGTGTGTGTGGGTGTGTAGGTGTGTGTATATTTGCGGTTTATTGGGTGTTGTTGAGGGCATACGAAATTGACTTTTGGTTGATGTCAACAACAGCAACAACAATAACAACAAGAAGCAAACCACAGTTGCAACAACTGAATTAGCCACAACAAAACTCGAGTTGATTTCGCAATAAGTTCAACTTGTCAAACTGTTCAGGCAATAAATTTGAAAATCAAATTACTCTTGAGTGTTGTGGACGACGGTTTTGGGGTTCCAACATTTCTAATTAGCAATTTGAGAAGTGGCTTAAAACAAAAATAAAACAAGGGCATACAATTATTGAGGTATTCATTTGAATGTGGAGTTGCTTCAAAACTGTTGCGTTATTCAAAATAAAATTGTTTCAATGCTTTCAAGCATTTTATTTATGAAATGCTTATCCGTCCCCTTCCAATGAATATACAATTTATTCAGATATATTGTTAATTAAATGTAAAAATTGCATTAAAGTGGGAAAATAAACGAACATTTTTTTAACCAAAAGGTATTTTCATAGATAACCAACAACTACTTAAAAACTGGCTACAGGGTATTTTCTAGTCGAGCCCTGTAGTCTTAATTATAGTTAATGTTAATTCGATTAAGTTAATACGTTCTCACAATCAATCGTGACCACAAATCATTTTTTACCCAGTCTCAATGAAAACACTTTCACTTCTCTGCACATTAAATATGAATATTCTTCAGCTTCCCCACTTGCCAATCATTGGTTTATTTCCATCAATAATTGATATTATAGTGATTTATAGCACACTTAAATGTAATCACCTCGACCATTATAATTTTAGTGCCTTTCAAGGCTAATTTTAATTTTCTTTCTTAAGTTGCTCTCCACGTAAAAGTGTTTTTCCTAGTTAAATAAATGAAATGATGCCGTTGCGGATATTATCCAATTCTGATGCTATCTTAACTTAATTTCACTTTCTTAGACAACATTTATGAAGTGTCGCGTAAATACGGATCTCCACCCTATAACCCTCCACCTTAGATATATAGCTATGTGGGACGACAGCAGGAACCCCAAGGCGGGTGAAATGACAAAACGAACTTAATCTATTAGAGGCGGAGAGCGTGTCGCTTGCCAAATAGTCTAGTGTCAAGGTGATAAATATTGCCTACAAGTCAAATGCAAAGTAGGCCAAAACGGCAGCCCCAAAAATGGGGAGGGGGAATTGGGGGAGCTGAACTGTGCATTAAATTTGCCCCGCAGGCGTAAATCAAAATCCGCACAATTTTATGTTGCCTACTTTTTGGCGCGCGCTTTAAATAAAGAATAAAATAAAAAGGTGAAAGGGGGAGGGGGATGTTGCAGGAGCTGTGCGACAGGTGTCGCTTTTGTCCCGTAGGCAATTATTTCGCTTTCAAAGTCGCACAGCCGCCTGGGGAATCCATCAGAGAATCAGCCTCGTTCCGCTGGGAGGTTGGCAAAGGAGCAAACTGGAGCAACAGCGGCAAACAGCAAGAAACGACAGTAACTACTTGGCGAGACGCTGGCAACAGTTGCTGCGGCGCGGCGGAACTTCTCTGTGTCGTTGTCTTCATTTTCATCTCCATCTTTCGTCTTTCGTCTCGGTGGCTTTCTCAGCATTACTAATTCAGTTTCATTTAAATGCGCCGGAGCTTAATGAGAAAATTGCCTGCGGTGGTCGCCCATTGGGATTTGCTTTGGCATCATCATCAGCCTCAGCTTTGGCCTTGGCTTTGGCTTAACCACGCTGCTTATACACTGTTCTTGTTAGGCAGTAAGGGTATATTACTTTAGTAGAGTGTTTGTTTCGTTTGAAGGCATTTTTGTATGGTATTGTAGCTTGAGAGTTGAAATATCTACTCGTATTTATTACTCTTTCTTGCACAGAATCATTTATCTATTCATTCAAATTATCGCCCTTCACAGCCTTTGTTAATAATAATCTTTTAGAATTTATGCCAACGGGAAAATCATAAACAAATTTATATTTATATTTATATTTAGCCAGACTTAGTTTCCTCTCTCATGAAGAGTATTTTGCAGTCGGATTTACCTAATTTTGTTGCTGTTGTTCAGGTGTTGGATTGCTGGCTAACGATTTGTGGGTGCTGGCAAGTGTTTTGTGCTTCTGGCGCAACGCACATACGATGACATTCAAGTTGAGTTGGATCTGAAAGCTGCCACACTGCCACTGCAGAGTGTTGGTGACCACGCCCACAACGCCTACGCCTACCACCAGCAGCAGCAGCAGCAGCAACAGCAGCAGTGGCCGCCGACAAAAGCCGTGACGCGGCATTTAATTTATGATGGCAGTTTGTTATGTCGCGCCTGTCACAACAAAAACAAACAGTCCAGCAAAGATAGAGGACGCCAAAGTGACACAGATAGTCGGCAACAGGCGGGGAAATGGGAGCAGTAAATAGGGGCAGGAGCAGCAGCAGGAGCAGCAGCAGGAGCATAGTCATCAGTAGCAGGAGTAGAGGCACCGAGGCGCATAAAAATGACCCAGCATAAATTTAATATTCTTGCTTTATTATTTAATGGCAGCGCAATACGCTCTCCACAACAACTGAGAGGGGCAACTTGACGGGTAGATATCCTGGAAGAAATATTGTTGATTGGATTGCATATATGGCTAATAATATAAATACCAATACAAATTATAGAAAGAGGTCTGCAAATGCAAAATAATTGTTAAGTGATTTATCATATTATTATACAATTCATCATGGTACTTGACGTAACATATAAAAAGGATTAAAATTTAAAATAATCCATTAGTTTAATTGGGTTCTAAGAGATACCAATATATATCAAATTAACTTCTCATTCTTATCCAATGAGTTTGAAGTTGTTTCTCATTTTTGCTACGTTTGCAGCGAAAACTGCAAAATACCTTGCTTTATCCTTTTTCAATGGGTATAGGGCATAACAACTGACAGATAGACAGACACAGATACAGAGAGAAAGAGCGAGAGATACAGTGAAAGAAAGAGAGAGAGAGAGAGAGAGGGAGAATGTGCATGATGCCTACCATTCAACTGCAGTAAAGTTGAGATTGGATCTTTGGGCATCGGGCATCGGGCATCAAGCTGGGGAGCATTGGGGTTATGTCTGCATATCAGTTAGTCATTCTGTCAGTTTGTCACGATGTCGTCGGTTGTCTTATCGACCACATCGTCATCATCATCATCATCATTATCAATGAAGATAACGTAATGTTATAATTGCCCCGTGCTGTCAATGATCATTAGCATTATATTCTTGATGGGCGTCGTTCTGGAATGATGGGTTGATGGTTGGATGGCTACGCTCGTTCCATTGCCAATTAATAACCTTAATGCAATGCCAATTATCGTTAGTCAGTGTGGAGGAGCAAAGAGGAGAGTCCAAAGAGTCCTCACTTCGGCACGTTGTCACTTATTTTAATTGAATCGATTCTCGTACCAAAAAAAAATGAAAGTAAGAAATGCCTGCCAACTGCCAAATGGACATTTCTCTTCTACTACTACTTTATTTTTTATCTATATATTTTTTTATAATTTCCGGGCAAAGGAACTTGTCTGGAAATGGAAATCGTTGTGCAGCGTGTGATGGAGGGGGAAGAAATTACATTTTGATATTTGATAGCAGCGTGTTGTAATTTGATGAAAGGAAATTGAAATTTATATCTAGTTAATATGCTAATATGCAAATTGATTAAAATTAAGCTAAATAATTGTGAATTTTTGAAGTGTTACGTGAGAATTAGTTCAATAAGAAAGCACTGAAACACTGAGAGAAAAATCATCATAAAATCTAGAACTTGAAAACTGTTTCTTATTGACCAAAGCTTAGTTTGTAGCAGGTAAACATAAACCAAACTAATATCACTTCACTTTAGTAGTTAATTTACTATTTTCTCATAAATTTCAAGCGATTATGTAAAGTTGAGATAGAAATGCCTAAAAGAATTAATAAAATTAAGCAAAAGTGTCTAACAGGTAGAATGAACCAATAATGAATATATATTCTTATTCGATATCAACAGATGAGTTGAGTTGGACATGTTCGTCTGTTCATCTGTATAAATAATCCGATTTCAAAGAATTTTTGAATTTAAGTTCTCCTCTACAATATGTAGATGGACTTTAAATTGATGTATAATAAGCCCAGACACATTATTTCACTAAGAGGCTACGGGACTTGGCCTACTACAAGTCTCCAGATGAAGACTCTATTCAATATAAAATTGCACCCTTTGCCAAGTTAGTTTGCTGCTCCAAGCCAAGAGACATTTTGGCTTAATTAAACAATCTCTACAAGTTTTCATTGCCTACTTTTGTGGGTTAATTTTCACAACGAAAAAATGTGCACCAATCAATTAAACACAATTAGGAGTCTCACAAAAAGGAACATCAGCAATGCAATGAGTTGGGCGCTGCATAAAAAGTGGGTGTGGATCGAAAGAGGGGGCGTGACTGCAATACTCACCAAATTGGGGCGCCGCTTTGGGCATTTTGGTCGGCTAATGAAGTTCTGGAATTAATGCTGGAATTTAACAGCGTCGACGTCGCAGCAGCTGCTGTGGTTGCTGCCACATCTGTTGCCGTTGTTGTTGCTGCTTCAGCTGTTGTTGCTGCTGCTGCTGCTGATGCTGGTGGTGCTGGTATGGCGGCAACAACGGCAGCGACTGTAGTTGCATTGGAATTTATTTGGTTGTGCAAAAGTGTTTCAAGCAATGTTGTCGACATGCCAGCAGTTTTGGTCATTGTCGTTGCTGCTGCTGCTGCTGGTGTTGCAACTGCCGCTGCTGCTGCTGTTGGTGGTATTGGTATGTTGCTGCTGCGCCGCAAATATGGATGAAAACTTTTCGCAGCACCTGTAAAAGTTGTTGCCGTTGCAATGGCGCCCGTTGCTGTCGTTAGATTTTCTAAATACTTTCCCGGCTGTTGTTGTTGTTGTTGTAGCTGCTGCTGCTGTTGTTGTTGTTGCAGCAGCAAGTTGTTATTGTTATTGCTATTTAAATTGTTAGTGTTGCTGCTGATGCCGTTATAGAGAATGCTGCCATTGGCCATACCATTAGCGACATGGGCAACAGGTGCTGTTGTTAACATTGTTGTTGCTGCTGTTGTATCTGTTGTTATTGCTGCTGTGTATGTGCTTATTGCTGTTGCTGTTGTTGCTGCTGTTACTTCAACAGTTGCCTCTGTGGTTGTTGCTGGTGGAATGCCGCTTAGTTTATCCACGCGCACTTTCAAAGATTGCAACATCATTTATTTTATTTCCCACTTTATTATTATTGCTCTCTCTCTCTCTCTCTCCCTCTCTGTCTCTCTGTTGCCGTCGCTAATTACTTTTAGTGTAACTGTTGCAACTGTTGCTGCTGCTGTATTTGGCGACGCTTCCTTTTTAATTTCACTGCGAGCTTTATTTTTATGAAAATTGTATATTATCTGCGCATTTAATTACTATGCTCTGCTCGTTTTGCTTATCACAGTTTTATCCCTCCACAATTGGACTACACCTTCTTTTTTTCAAGTGTTTTAATTTGTTGGTGTTTATTTATTTTTGTTTTCATTTGTTGCACTTGGTTTGCTGCGGGTTTTTCCAGTTTAACTGTAATTAAATTAGAAAAAAGAAGAACAGCAACAATTAGTTGTTAGTTTAACGATGTAAAAGAGTTGTTCTTAAATAATAAATTTGAGTTCTGTTAAAATGAAATATAATGGACCTTCTCTGAATATTGTTTTATATAATTCATGTATTTAGCTATCTATATAAATTATAATAAATAATTATGTAATGCAACACTTGTGCCATCGAACTAGATTAAATGAACCATTTTAATAAGACTGAATTAGGAGAATCAATTGTTGAATTAGTGATCGAAACTCTAAATAAGGTCATTATTGCATCCACAGGGTATAGATAGATCTCAGATCAGATAGATAGATAGATCTGATCAGATAGATAGATCTGAATCTGTCTGGAGTCCCATTAAAAAGTCAGTAAATTTGAGACTCCATAAATAAAGTACTCCATAAGCTTAAAGTACCAATTATAATAGTGTCTTGGGCTGTGTTTATCATTAAATCTAAAGGTGTTTGTTTTATTAACTGGCTCGTTAACTATTAACACACACACACACACACACATACACACGCAGTAATTAAGCTTCAAATAATTAATTTTGCAGATGTTGCATTTAACACATTAGTGATTGAAAGGGTGATAATTGGTTTGCTCAAAATAATTTTGTTAAAGGTCGATTCAAATTACTTGAAGAAAATGAAAGTGATATTGTTAAATAAATATTGTTATATACAAAGTGTATTTATTTAAATCAAAGAGCGTCTTATGAAATTAGTTAATTGTACTAAATTCCTTTTATAAAACTGACTTTAATTTAAATAAAAACGTTTTACATATATAAATATTTAATATCCTATTTTCACATTATTTTTGAATAACATACGGAAAATTAATAAATATTCAAAGCAGCCACTTGAAAGTTTAAGTACTTAACATGTTTAATATTGCAATCACAAAGAGAGTCTAAATTAATACTTATCACAAAAGTGAACAAATATATGTATATATATCTATATTATATGCACTCGCATCAAGTGCTTATCACACACACAAAATAATTGAATTAAAAACTATTCAAGTGGCTAATTAAATATAATACCAAAAACTAGCAGTTAGACCAAAAAATTAACTCTTATTATTTGTTTTTGGTTTTCTGGTTGTGGTTGGCAGTGCAAACCGCAGTCGAAATGGCTGCCAGATTGAGCACATTCCCCTCACTCACACCTCACCACACCCAGTAGCAGTTTGCCTGGCTGCAACTAACGCCTGTCGGCAGCTGCATAGCTAAGCGCATTGAAATGAACGCATATTGACAGACTGACCGCAGCATTCACTGCCTACTTGACTCTCTGCATTTGAGTGCTTGGCTTTGATAAAGCACTAGAACACACACACACACATATGTATACATATATATATGTATAAATATATATATATATATATATATATGTTGTATACTGCGCATTGGAGTGCCATTTAAACTGAACATGTTTGTAGCTGCCGCTAAACAGATAAGGACTTGAGTGCTCCAACACACACTATAGTACACTCACACACACATTCTAACACATACACACATATCACACACACACACACACACACATTTATCATTCTGTGAGGCTCAGACGGTCGCATTATGTTGAAGGCTGCAGCTAATTAGTTAAATTGAAATCAAATTATTTGTTGTCGCACTTGACTGACCACAAGCTGGGCACCTTAATTAACGCGCTCTCACACACATACACTGACTCACATACACACACATATGTTGTGTCCAAAATTCCAGACGTTCCACTTGGCGTATGCGCAATCTTCAGCACTTTACACTTAAACCTTAACTTCAACTAGCGCTATTTGCAATTACTGTGGAATTTTGCTCTAGAATTTCGTCATTATTTTATATTATTAATAAATTGCAAAATTCGCATATTTTCGCGCTTTTTTATTTTCGTTTTATTTATATTTTATTTTTATATATTTTGTTTTTTGTTTTTTTTTGTTGTTTTTTGGCGTCCGCTTCAGTTGGCCAAAGGCTGGCAACTGGCGACGTGTCGTGAAACGCTTGTTGCACCCCACCAACAAGAGATTCTGAGTGTTGTCGATATTTATGCTGCTGTTGTTCAGCTTCGGTTTGCCAGCGGCATTGCTGCTGCCACGTTGCCACGTTGCCATGTTGCCACACGCTTATCCAGCGCCATCAAACGATGTCGACGGCAACAACAACAATAACAATAACAATAACAACAACGATGGCTGCGACGACGCTAACGCCAACGCCTGTTGTCTATATATGTATATATGCCATATACGACTTATAGATACACTAACTTTGCTAAACAGCGTTTGATTAGAATAACTTTTCGCCTTTGCTCTTTGAGCCTAACATCCTACAGTTTTTTTTTATTTGTATACATTAGAAGATAGCGAGCTTTACTTGTAAGTTATTTGTATTTGAAGACACCTTTTTCAAGTATCTTAGATAAGTTTGGGCATTAGTTCCTAAGAAATTGGGAAATACGCTTGTTAATTCCTCAATTCGTAATCTTATCTTGCCCAATTAATAAAATATTTGTAGCTTGTATCTTAGTTTAAAAGAAACTTGAAAGTAAGTTGTTTAGATTTGCCAGCAGAGAAATAAATTGCAGGCATATTAAGCTATTTGCAATGGAAACTACTCCAGAAATTCTAATCTCAATTACAATATCAAATGTCTAGTAATTAAACTCATTACAGAAATCATAATTATATAATATAATCAGACTCAAAATCAATTTTATAATATTTTTGTATGGAATTAAACTTCCTTTAGAAATTGTAGTCAAACTCAAAATCTATTTTTTACTCTAGTTTTTGAAATTATATTAACTTCAGAAATTATAATTAGACTCCAAATTAACCTTATAGTTTTTTTTTATTTTTCCGTACTCTTCTGCTTATTAACTATTTTTAATAGTTTTTGGCGTTATTCTAATGAAATAGTTGTATTTTGATTTCGGCAACTATTTGCATTTTTCTTTCTAAAAAAGCAACCTTTGCTGAAATCTCAATTTCTATTTTTCATAAGAGTATTTCAAATTCAGCTAGCTTTATTTGGGTTTTTCATTTGTGTTTCTGTTTTCGCTGTTGCTGTTGTTGCATTATGAGCAGTTAGCGTTGGTTGCTGCTGCTGCTGCTGCTGCTCCTGCAGCTTTAACAGGCAGACCACCCACTGGGGACACGAGGCAAGACGCACAGCGGTGGCAGCTGTGTCATCCTCGTGGCTGCTGCTGTTGCTGTTGCTGTCACCTTGTAATTTTATTTATCTATTGATTATTGAGTATCTCTTTTCTATTTATTTGCCTTTGTTTGCGCACGCAGCGCGCTGACGATGACGATGAAAGGCAACTACCTAACACCCAATCCCCCCTTTCCGCACCACCCACTCCCCACCCAAAGCACAGGACTCTTATCCTTTGCCAGGCATTTTTATTAAAGCTGTTGGCAGATAGACAAGAGAGGGTGAACTGTTAGATGTCTGTCATCTGTGTGTGTTTGTGTGTGTTGTGTGTAAATATTGTGTGCCTCTGGCTGTTTTTTAATTAACTTTAGTGACAATATTTTGCACAGTTTGCCTTTGTTGCCCCTCCTGCCCTGCACCCCCTGCTCTGGCATCGGTTCATCTCCCCTGCCTAATCTGCCACTGAGAGATAATCAAACTGTGTATGCAAATGTAGGCCTAGTGTGAATCGTGTGCCCAAAAGTCTGACCCAAATTCCACTCTATATATCCCTCTCGCTTTTTCTCTCTGTCTCTGTCTCTCTAGCTTGTTGTCTCTGTGTGTGTGTGTTTTGTGACAGTGACACTGCTGTTGACATCTCACAACTTGCACTCCATTTAGGAGGAATCACATGTCAACAGGGCCAGCAGCAGCAGCAGCAAGACACTTAGCCATGGGGCTGCCTTGCACTGAATGACGGTACACTGTGCTACACAACACAGCACAACACAAAACAACACTCCACTACACTACACAAATACACACACCTACACAGAGACAGAGACAGAGACATTGCTATGCGGCATTGGACTGTGCTGCATTCACTTGTTGAGCGAGTTTTACGTTATCTTATCTGGTGTTTTATACGTTTCGTATGGTTGGCTTTTATTGAGGTTGTTTTCGCTTGGGTTTTCCTTCTTTTTTTTACTATTTTTTTGGGTAACTATGAGCTATATTTATATCCATAAGTCCAATGTTGCCCTACCAGTTAGATTAACAACTGTTATCTGTTGGCTGTAAAAAAGAACATGGCAAACAGTTTCATCAACTCAACGGACATGGCGTATAACAGTGTGTACGACAGCTGTAACTAGTATAACAGTTGCCAGCACTTTAACTGTTTCCATTCGATACTTACTTTAAGGCACTGCAGTTTACGCAAGTATCTGACAGATGCAAATGTATCTCAGGTGAATTTTTACTTTCAGTTAACATATGCTCAATTTGGACACACGATATGTTTATGTCTATATAGAGACACACACAGACACGCACACGCTTTACACAGATACCGCTGTAGATACACGCATATACACTGTTACAAACACTCTAATCGGGCATATAATTGCACTTCGCGACTTGTATGTTCGACCGCACGCGTAGCCCAGCAAAAGACAACTAAAATCGAGCCCGAAAATAAGTGAAATACGTACCCATTAATTTCATAATCATTTTTCACACACTCTGAACTCAACCACTGTTTTCCACTCTCCCCCCTGTGTGTGTGTGAGTGAGTGTGTGTGTGTGTGGGTGTGTATGTGTTATCTGCTGCTGATAAGAATGCGCTTATCGCATAATTGCTCGCTGATTGTTGTCAGCAGCAGCAGCAGCAGGCAGGTAAACTAAACTACAACGGACAGACACACACTCTCTCTTTCTCTCTCTCTCTCTCTCTGTCTCTTGAGCAAACATTTACCTTGGCTAAATGGGTCTCTCTTGTGGACTCTCTCTTTCCCTACTTGCTACCGTTGACTTGGAGTTGTCATTTGTTTATTTTCTCAGGTCTTTATCTATGCCACAAGACAAGTGCAGTCGACTCGGTTAGAGCTAAAATCCTCGCTCTCTTTAACTGGTCATTCCGCTTATCACAGACGCCGTGAGTCAGACAGCCTACACTGTAACAAATTTGTGTTACCTTGTGTGTTTGATTGCTAACACTTTTAAGTGTTTTAAAGAACTTATTTTGTTGCATACATTTAATTGTCGATTCATTATTAAATTTTTAATATTCACTTGTTAAATTGGAATACCAAATTATCCTGAAACACCCAACTCAGATTTTAAAGTTAAATTATACAATAAATAATAAATAAAATAGAATCAATGCAATGGTTTATATCAAGTTTTTTAAGACCAGAAGTTGCTTAAATTGATTAAAATAAAAAACGGAAAACAAAAAGTGCTTAAAGTATTTAAGAACATTTCGCGCTGTTAAAGTCTTCGTAATTTAATTGGTTTTTAATGCGAACTTTCACTGCATTGAATTTAAACTTGGTCAAATTGTTTACGGTGCAACAATAAACAAAACACAAAGCCCACTTACAAGTTGGGACACATGCAAAAATAAAGACGCAGCCAAGTTCCGGTCTCTGCCGGTATCTGAGTCTCTGCAATCTGCCATAAGCACAATTCGCACAAAAGTGTCGCCTGCCTGCCTGCCAACAACAACAACGACAAAAACAACGACGACAGCAAGCAGAACATAAATAAATACTATTTTTATGGCCATTCACATTTCTTATCAAAATATAACGAAACATGTGCCAACAACATCGAACTCGAATCGAATCAAATCGGAGTCGTAATCGAAAATGCCGCTGCAATTGCTCGAGTCTCTTCAGTCTCGAGGCTCTCGTAAAGCGCGCTTCGTCCTCGATATATCCGCACTATAATGCCCATAAATATAAACTAAACTCATGCACGGCCAGCAATATGTGTGGGAGTTGTCTGCTCTATATACAAATAAATATATATACATATCCATATATATATATGTATATATACAGCTCGTACAACCGATGGCAACTAGCTGTGTTGTTGTGGCCAGTCTGGATATACAAAAAAATAAAAAAAAGACCACGTAGTGCTGCCCAAAGTATCGATGAGTTTGAAGTGCTCAATGGAGTGATTCGTGTGGGTTTGCTGGGAAAGGGGGTAGGACAAGGGGCAGTGGGCAAGGTGGGGGTTGTGTGTAAAAGTGCCTTACAGCCCGTGTGACCGGACAGCAGTTCAGCATTGGCCATAACAGACAGCACAAGGGTTAGAGTCAGAGCTCCACTCTATATATATATACCTAGATATGTATAACATACACATAAGCTTTTTACATACATCTATATCTATATATATATATATATATCGAGCATTGCTTCTGCCATTTGCCACGCGTTCGCTTGTCACTGTGCCATCAAATAATAATGCGCGACTATTTAGTGGTAAATGTGTGTTACTCTCCACACACACACACAAACATATATATATCTATATATGCATTCCTATATATATATATATATATATAGCAGTATTGACTGGCAGCGCGTAATGGGATAATTATATGGACATCGATTACAATAAGCGGGAAAGCTGAGGCAAGAATCGAATATTTAATTATGTGTGGCATATATAGACCAATAATTAGCCCTATTTTTTGACAATATTGTGAGGGGATTCCGAATGAAAAACGCTGTTATTTAGTTTGTTATACATATTTTTTAATGCTTCATTCTCTTTTTAGGTATGTAGAACAGTTGTAGGTAAGCTGAGAACTGTTATAAGTCATAACAGCTCTCATAACATTTATACAAGCCCAGTTAACAGTTTATTTTTAAACTGAACTCATAAAAATTTTGGTAGAAATTGTATAATGAAATTGTGCAGATTAAGTTTATGGTATTTTTGAGCAGATAACATAGAGTATAACAGTTTCCATCAAGTATACACATTAGTGTTGCAGATATGTAGAACAGTAGTTATTATTCCATCAGGGAGTATTTTACTATATGATCGTATGGCGATAATTGCTTATCTGTCTATCTCCAACTGCAGCGCTTTTGATTGCTCACTAATTTATCTAATCTGTGATTATTCTGCAGATATATAATCATCAAGAGTAGTACACTAAAATCTCATATTTGTACATACATATAATATATACACACATTTATGTAATGTTAACAAGGACAACCTGCTGCTACTAGTTGTAGTTCTTTGTCCACATATCTATGTATATATATGTATCTGTGGTTTTAACTGTAACTATAACTATAACTATTTGTCTGTCTACTGCACTTATCACAAGTTGAAACCCTTTTTGACTTGGGGCACGTTTCGATTTTTCATGTCCTTTTCCAGTTGCCAGTTGCCAGTCCAAGCAATCAATATTGAATTGGATTTGAACAATTCTTATTGGTCGTGGTGTGTCAAGTGTGTGTGTGTGTGTGTATGTGTGTGTGTGTGTGTATTGTTTTCTTGTGAAATGTGTTAGTTGGACGAAATAATTAAATTATTTATACGCAAGTAGGTAAAGTGTGTGCGCCAAAAGGACAACAAATCGACACAAATACTTTTTGATTGGTATGCATTTAGACAGTTTCTAATTGGCTAAATATATGTATATATATATAACTATGTATAACTTATAGACTAGAAAATGTGTGTGGCACTGTTACAAAGCTGAAATAATATTTTGAGAAAATCAAACAATAAAATCGAAGCCACGAAAATGGGGTTTGTGATAAAACAAAAGCCAAAACACAGTTTAGTGGTTGAATGGCAGCAGCAAAGACCACATGAACAAATGATACAGACTGACGCATACTGACAGACGGACAGCAATACTGACAATCGACTGCTGCAACAACAACGACAACAACAAACTAATAAAGCAGCCCCAGCAAACAGGTAAACAAAATGAACAACTGGGCCAAAGGCGAGAGTGAGAAAGAGAAATGCCAGACAAAAGGAAGCGCTGGCAATATAAATTGGATGTGTGTGCGTGTGTATGTGTATGTTTGAGTGTGTGTGTGTGTCCAAAGAAAGCCAAAGCTGAGTAATTATTTCCGACAGAGCAAGCACAGCAAGTCCAAAAGTCCGGAGTTGGAGTCCTGCGGTTTGACTGCAACACATGGCCGGACACTTAAACCAAAAGTGGCAAACGAAGTAACTCACAAGCACATTCCGTCTGCCCCACCTGCCCCCCCCCCCCTCCCCCTACCTTTGCCAACCACTTTTCCGAACTCACCCTCAACTCACCTCAATCCGGCTTGAAAATCTATCTGGGCAATAATTTCGGTTGACATGCTTGCGGTAATTATTGACCGTAATGACAAAACCCCAAAGACCATCGAATCAAACACACCCACCCCCCGATCCCCCCACACCACCCACTTGCTCCCACAAACAAATTGCTTTAGTTTTGCACTCTTGACTCTTGGGTGTGTATGTTGTGTGCCTTTCATTTTAATTGGATTTTGCCAACTGACACACAAAACAAGGCTGGAAATCAAACAAAAATAATAAAAAATAAAATAAAAGAAAAATTTTAATTGATTTACGCCCAAATTATGGGGCGAGTCTGGAAAACTTTTTGAGTAAGATTTTATGAGCGTTTCGCATAAATTTCTACAGCTAAAAGTATTTGTTGTCAACAAAATTAAGGCCATAAAAATTAAATTTGAAATGAGAAATTAAAACAAGCAGAGCATAAACTATATAAATGTGACAGAGATGGACACATGCTGAGACTGTAACTGCGACAGAGAGAGAGAGAGTGAGAGAGAGAGAGAGAGAGTGAGAGAGAGAGAGAGAGAGGGAGAGAGAGAGAGAGTGCTCTCTATATAGATTTATAGCCTACCTGTGCGGCTTGTTTTATGTTTTTATACCCTGCACCCATTAAGTGTATAAAAATATGGGGTTTTGCAAAAAGTTGAAAGTTGTAAGATGGATTTATTTACTTGTTTTTATTTATAAGTGCCATGCATATTTCTGGAATCAAACTAACCGTAGACATATTTCACACATTTTATTACCGTCTAACTACATAAGTTTTTATATTTAGTTATAACTTTGGACCATGAAAGAGTAAACATCAAAAAGGCTTCAAAAATATACATTTCCTTTTATATTTAAAACAAGCTGAAACCAGTATATTATCTAGAAATTCTGGACAAAGCAAATTCTCATTTCCAAAGCTCTAAAGCTTAGTCTAACATATTTGGGAGCTCATCCATTTATTTCCAATATTTTCATCGAGAGCTTGTGGCATGTTTAGTCGCATATGTTTGTACTCGGTGAAAATGGAACAACATTCATTCACCCCTTCGCAAAAGGATGAGAGCAATTGTAGAATTTGACTGTGATGAAAAAAAAATACATTTTTTATGTCTGATTTACAATTTAAACATGTTTTTCGCTGGCTACAGTTCAAGGGTTATTGTGATTTATTTATATATTTCAATAAATTTCGAATCCCGATGGAATAAATTTAATAATAAATATTAAATCATTTATAAATGTTGCACTAAGGCATATTCCCCCCAAAATAGATAAATATCCATTGGGATTGTAAGTTGATGGGCATTGGGCTGTATGTATATTAAAACTTTAAGCCGAACAGA